TAGTGTAACGACACACGAGACAGTTACTGAGGTTTAGGCTGGCGGTGGTGGCACACTCCCAGCACTTGCTGACTCAGCCTCCCAAGAGCTGAGTCTATCAGCTATGTGCCACATGCCTGCCTGGATATTCTTATCATTAGCTGACTTTTGATCACAAGAAAGGACTTCCTGCTAAGCAGTGGTAGCTCACACCTTTAATCCTAGCCCTAAGAAGGCAGAGGTAGGCGGTTCTCTGAGTTTGAGGTCAGCCTGATCTACAGTGTGAGTTCCAGGACGTCCAGGGCTACACAGAGAAACCCCGTCTCAAAAAACAAAACAAACAAAGAGTTTTAAGTCCATTTAACTGATGGCCAGACCAAGAGTGGGCTTGAACCTCCAAAAAGTCTTAGTGTCTAAGTTCAAGGATATAACATGTTTCTTTTTTTAAATTTACTTTGTAAAACAACCTTTTCTCCTTCTACATACCAATCAGGATACATCGTTTTTAAAGGCAAAAATCACAAATATATCAGAGTTAGATGAGGGTCAGAGTCACCTTGAAATGTTCACTCCTGTAAGATCAGTCGTTATTTTAGGACATAACTTGGCGATTATTTTGGTTAATACACCTGGGCCATAGTCAAGACTATGAAATCTCAAATGTGCTGTCAAGGCAGATGTGACAGTTGTGGGGTGGGGTAAAGACCACTGTCTAAGCAAACATACAATGGGGTCAGGGCAGAATGGCATTACCTTAGTTGTTTCTCTAGGAGCCTGGGATGCCCTCCCTCTCCTCTCCCTAACTTCTCTTCATCCCTCAAAATCTTGCTGTCTGCTCTCAACTCCAAGAGAGGCCCATGTCTGGTACTTATGATCTCCCACTGCCTCTTCATCTCCCTCTGTCCACATCAGATAAACACACACACACACACACACACACACAAAACCCCACAAAGTGGGGTCAGTCAGCAGAACCCGAACGCCACTTCCCTCACAAGTGTGTGAGACATTGGACAAAAAGCCCAGCTCTTATGTCAAAGGTGATAAGAGATAATTTATGCAGATACGAATGCTGAGGTCCAGGGGCATGAATTCAGGTTGCCCTGCAGTGCAGTAAGTTTCATGAAGTTTTTATAGAAACAGAACCAAAAAATATTATCAGTGAAGGAAGGCTTCAAATATACTGCTGGGAATACCAGGTAGGTGGGGGTTACAGCCAAGTGGGAAAACCTGGGTCAGGGCTCAGTGCCTTAGTCTTTTGGTTGGCGGAAGCTGGGGAGCTGCTTGTATAGTCCACAAGTCTGCCTGCTTGTCATGAGGATGTTAGACCACACACGGAGGTGGGAATGGATTGCTATTAAATGGACTGGTGATAGCCTAAGATACGGCCCTGGACTTGCAGCATTCTGAGTTCCTACAGTCACAGAAGTTCTCAACATCGGAGAACGTTCAGTTCAGTCCCCCATTAACGTCTCTGCTTATCTTCCTTGACCATAAAGACGTCTCACTGAGCTCTCAACACTTGATGGCTTTTTAGTCCAAAGTTCCAAAGGCCTTCCACAATTCTCCCCAAAACAATCTGGTCATATCTGTCACAGAAATACTACCCTGGCACCCCACTATCCTGGTACCCCACTATCTTGGTACCAACTTGTCTTAGGGTTTTTATGGCTGTGATAAAATACTATGACCAAGGCAACTTGGGGAGGAAAGGGTTTATTTCAGCTCCAACTTCCAGGTGACAGCCTGTCACTGAGGGAAGTCAAGGCAGGAACTCAAACAGGACAGAACCTGGAGACACGAGCTGATGCAGTGGCCATGGAGGGGTGCTGCTTACTGGCTTCCCCTTCATGGTTTGCTCAGCCTTTCTTGTAGAACCCAGGACCACCAGACCTGGGATAGCACCATCCACAATGGGTTGGGTTCTTCCCCATCAATTACTAATTAGGAAAATGTTCTATAGCCAGAACTTATGGAGGAATTTTCTCAGTTGGGGGTCCCTCTTTTCAGATAAATCTTGTTATATAAAGTTGATATAAAACTGGTCAGCACAATTAGTAACACTTAGGGCCTCACAGGAGGCGGGAAGGAAAACTCCAGCAGTGAGGTCTCAGACAACCCAGAAGACATCCAGTCTGTCTCCCTTCCCTGTAGCTGGAGATACATTTCAGCCTGGGACACAGTCTCAGGCTTCCCACCCCGGGAGTGGGAGGCCCAGACTGGCAATCCCAGTTCGCATTCTTAGTGGTCCCTGATAGTCAGGCTGTTCCATGTCCTGTCTGGAGTTGCAGCTCATCCAACTAAGACAGGGTCAAGGCAGCACCCCCATGGACACAGGCCTGATCCCAGCCTTGTTCCCAGAACAGCCTGTGGGTTGGGAGGACCCTTCCAACTCTGTATGTAGGAGGAGAGGAAGGGAGGGAGGAAGGGTTGGAAGAAAAAAGGAGAGGAGATGGCTTCAGAACGCAGTGGGAGGCTCTGGGCAGCTTCAGAGAACAGCCCTCTCCCTCTGGGCCTCCTCCTCTCATAATCCTTCTTGGGCTTCGCCTTGTTTGCTCTGGAGTGGGCCACAGCAGAATAAGTCACTGCCACATGGCTCAGGGTTTCTAGAGAGCCAAGCAGCTAGGAGAAACATCTTTGCTCACTTCCCAGTGGAGACGCTGCCTGGCTGGTGGTCAGGGACTCTTTCGGGGCCAGGTAGGAAGAAAGGCCATAGTGCATTGTAGAAGCCAGCCTCACTCTTGGGAAGGCACGGCTTGTCTATAGCTCCTTGTGGGCTCAGTGCTGGAGGTATCACCAGGGTAGGTGGGTGAATGCTGGTCCTGCACGCCAGAGAACCTGCCAGGCCTCAGGCTGACTCCTTGACTGGTTGCCATTTGGGCCATGATGTGGAAGCATCATCCCAGTGATGATGAATCGGTCCTATTCCTCCCAGCTGCCCTCTGCAGGGAGAGCCTTAGGGGGCTGAACCAGTAGGCAGGCCCCACCCAATCAGGCTAGCAGCTTCTCCATTCGGAGCTCCAACTGTTTCACTCATCCAAAAACTGGCTTGAGCTTTGCAGACGTGGGCCCATTGGAGCCTCCCTGTTGGAGAGGCCAAGAGCCAGGCTTACAGCCCTCTCCCGCCCTGGCCTCTCTTCTCACTCGGTAGAAATGCACATTCAGCACTTCGACAAAACTGCTGTGTCCCTGCCCCTGGTTGAGGGAGTAGAAGGGACTGGCCAGGTCACATGAGGACCCTGTGCAGAGCCCAGGATCAAAGGCAAGCTGGGTCAGCGGGCACCGAGTAGTGTGGGGTCCTGGTCACAATGTGTGCTCTAAGCACAAGTTTTGCTTCTGCCTGGGGTGGGGAACGGCCCCGGCTTAGGAGGCTAGCTAATGGGAACAGTTAGAATGTCCTGGGGAACCTTTCTGTTTGAAGTCATGTCAGTGTGAGATGCAGTCCAAAGGAAAGGAGACTGTTATATGTGGCAGTGCCCAATCCCCCAAGGCTTGTGTTTGACACTTGGTCACCACAGACAGAGCCTCAGGTGCTTGGGAGAACGTGGAACAGTCTGGACATGGGGTGTAGGTGGCACACAGGAGCACCTACCCATTGGTGCTCATGAGTTTGACCAGCCTGTTCTGAATGTGGGCAGGGTCTGCGATCTGCCTCTCACCAGCGACAGGCCACCACTTGTGTGATGTGACAGTGGGAAATGGCCTGCTGCTGCTGTCAGCTGGCCTGTGGAGAGAACCACAAGAGCATGGACACAGATCCTTTCTTAGTCTAGCTTCTGCTGAGACCTCAGTCCTAGGTCATCACTTGGCTGCAGCCAGGACGGACCTGAGCATGAAGGCCCACCACGGCTGAGCCTTCTATTGTACCGGTCTCAGCTCTCTGCTGCACAGCCAAAGATAAATCACCTGAGGGTCCCTCCTTGCTGACCTGCGCAGGGACGATGCCCAGGTCCTTACTATGCTCTCAAACACAGCAGTCCTCCCCTCCAATGCTGAGCTCTCATCTTGTGGATCACAACCATTTTGAAGACTCAGAAGCTAAATGCCTTTGATAGACCCAAGTTGGCCATGCTCCAGACAAACCCCATGTTTATGTACACATGTGCTTGCATGGCGTTAGCCTGGAATGCATGCTTACCAGTCACCACTACATTGTGACTTTGGGCATTTCTTCATCTTTGAGCTCACTTATGCCTCTGGTCCTATCACTGACCTGGTAGAATATGGATTTAACAGAAAGTCCAAAGCAGCAGGACTGTCCAGAGACAGGCACGGTCCTCCTCCATCGTGCACACGTCCCTAACCCTGCTCACATTCTTCCCATGCAGGGACTTCTGGAAGTTGTCCTCACTAAATCATGGGGGTGAGCCCACAGCTCATTCTGAATGAGCTTCTGCAGAGTCTTCTCCCAGAAGCCAGGCTTCATCATGAGACTTTGAGAACTAGAAAAAGTGGAAACATAAGACTGCTGTCTCACCTCTCAGTCTAGCTACCTTAACATGGAGCCCCAGGAAAATCTCAGGGAGGCCAAGCTCACTGCCAATGGGAGCCTGGCAACTACGTCCTAGAGGACCAAGGTTAGATTTTCAGGTACCTGCAGGGTCAGGTGGGAGAGGGCCCTGCAGCTTCTGGGCCCCTATGGACCTAAGAAAAAAGGCAATTACATGCAGAGCCAATGAGAACAGAGGCTGCCCCCCACCCCACTTTGAGCGAGTCCTGGTTCCTGAAGACACACAGCCTAGCCCATCTAAGACAGAGGGCGATATTGCCTGGGTGCAGATCACTACCACTGTGCTGGGAGTTGTGATTGCCAAACTGACAGAGAGAGAGGTGGGAGCAAACTACGTGGGCTCTCATCAGCTGGGACTAAGACCCCATGGCGGCTGTCCTGCTCCAGGATGCTGCAGGGCCCTCAGCTCTCAGAATAAACAACTTCATTCACTTCGCTCAGATGACACTGGGATATCAAGTTTCAGAGGGTGGTCCCCAGGCCACTCAGCAGAGATGCAGCGAGTACCACCTTTTGTGAAAGGTCAAAAATAAATTTAAATGGAAATAATTTTTTTCTGAAAGGAAAAACTGTAAAACACTTCTAGGGATAGGGTGCCAAAGAGAGGGGTAAGGATGAAGAAGGGTGGCAGGGTGTGACTCTGGAAGCTGTTCTCTAGGACTCTGATAATGGCCTCACAGAAAAGTCTGTTTGCAGGAGCCTGTGACCACCCTGCAGCAAGCTCCCAGGCAGAGGAAACCTGGGCACACAGCCCTGAGCATGAGAAGGTCATGTACGTAGAAGCTGACATGGGGGCTCTGGCATCTGAACAGTCCGAGAAGGGCTGAGCAGGCTCTGCAGCCTGGAGATGTGTGCCAGTGGCTGACAGTGGCTATGCACAGACAGGTCACACTGAAGTCAATTCACCCCAACAGGGTGTCATCAGGACAGGGGAGACAGGTAGGAGACCCACAGAGCCACCAGCTGGAGACCCCTGAGGAAGGGACTCAGGGAGCCTGCTTCTGCTTCTTTGAGGTTTGGGACAGGCGCAGCTCTTCAGGCCCATGGGCAAAGGGGCAACGGGCAGCAGGCAGCACGCAGCCATCAGGATGGTGAGTGAAGAACCAGCAGATGCGCGTCTTGAACACCTCTGCAGGCAGGCTCCGCTTGGCTTCTGGAGGCTTCTCCCTCTGCAGCTCTCGCCGCCAGTCACGGATGTGAACTTGCCCATTCAGAACTGAGTTTAGAACAAAAAGCCTGAATGTCATTAGTGTGCAGAGACTGAGAAGCACACCTTGTGTGTGTGTGGGGTCTTGACAGAGGGGTGCAGGGTCAAGGTAAGGACCTCTAGTCATGAGTCCTGCTGGACAGGATCTGGGTGCAAGGGGTATGTTAATCAGGAAATGGCCAGGGTGGCCCACTGCCCTCTGCCACTTCATTTTCAGGAGCCAATAGCTTCATGTGAAACTTGGCCAAAGCAACCAAACCTTCTGGCCTCCCCAGTGCTGTAAAACTACCTGCAGCCAGCATGGCGGGAGGAAGAAAAGTGCCTCATTGAGGGAGTCTGGCTCACTGGCTTCCAGAACTGAACTGAGTGTGTGTGAGTGAACGCAGCTTCCTGTCGGCTCTGGGATCCCCTGTAGTATGGCTCCAGCGAGGCTGGCTGCTGCCATCAGCATCCTGGTAATAAATATTTCCCTTGGAAACCTGAGTAATGCGTCCTGAGAGGACCCTATGGCACCTAGAATACAGGGAAGGTTTCATCTTCAGGGATGGCTTGAAGCCCCCAGAGTCAAGTGACATCACATGCAACCTCCTCCCTTGGGCTGAAGTTGGTCTTCCCTGAGCTAAAGTCCAGGTTAAGGTCATTTCAGGACACTCAGAGACGTTTTCCAGAGTAGATCTCCCCAGTGCAGCACAGGACACAACTCAAATCACTGTGGGCCCAGAACTCTCTGAACTGTGCTCAGGGGAGCCTCAGAGGAATCTTCCAGAAGTAGGAGGACATCTGACTGTAAGTGGCCAGGAGCCCCTGTCCCTGTTAGAAGTTTTGACATGTTTAAGCAATCTGAGGTCAAGCCACAGTGGACATGAAACCTGCCCTCGATGCTGGCTTAGGCCTTCTCTGTGGACACAGTGGCCAGCAGGAGAACCTCCCCAAATGGCTATGAGCCAGTAGCATGCCTAACTACACTTATGGTTGCTATTTGCAAGGTTATGTGACAAGTCCATCTTAAGTATAAAGACCAAAGGGAGCACAAATCACACAAGAAGTCCAGCATCTAATATGCAGAGCATTATCGGTGTGCCCAGTTTATACCAGGATGCCAGGCAGCTTCCCATTGGCCCCAGAGCCATCACTCTGGGAAAGTTGGTGTTAGGTGCCAGAGGGCTGGCCTTCCAGGGCATATGCCAGTCATTCAAGTCAAACCACCAACAGCTTTTTTTCTGGGAAATGTGCTACTAATTTGAAATGGAATTACGGGAAGAAATCTGCTGTCTTCCCAACAACCCCCCCAACTCATGCCTCCTGCTGGGGGCTTGTGGGACTGCAGAGAAACAGAGAACTCTCCACTCATCAGCCGCTGGACAATAGCAGCGTCTGGCTAGAACGTGCTGGGACCCAGGGAACAGGAAGAGCACTAAGGGTGTGCCCTGTCTTCAGGAGCATCAGTGCCAGGGGCTCGCCTGGCCTGGACTGCCACCAACTCATCGGAGCTATGGCCAAGTCCTCTAGATGAGGAGGCTGCTTCACCAGCTGACAGGAAGAGACAGCCACGCAGGTCTTGGAAGGGGTGGAGCCGAGGCGGAGTCAATGCTGATATGGCATGGACATGCAGTGTTCACACGGGCTGACCTAAGCCATCTGAAAGCTGCTTCCTCAGGAGCACACTCTCCTCCAGATGACCCAGCCACATCAGCTTAGAACAAACCAAACCTCACGCAGAGATAAGCCCTAGCTTCAGCACATACTCTCTGCATGACCGCAAAGAGAACGCTCACACAGCTCTGATCTCTAGGACTTCTACTCAGAAGTGATTCCAAAACTAATTGTTCCCCGAAGTGAACTCACAGAGAAGCAGTTAATCCCATATACACATATTTACACAGGACAGGAGCGATGGTCCTTCATGAAACCAAAGAAAACATGGAAAACAGAGAGGCGCCTCAGGCTGTAGTATTTTAACTGATTAAAGTTTTGTAAATAAGCACAAATTTCAGGCACTGGGAAGCTCATCTGGACATGTGTGTGTGGGGCTCTTGGTTTCAGCAACACCTCCAGGGGGCTATGTCAGGGGGACACACACTCCATGAAGCAGAAGTGGCCTGCGGGAAGGTCCTGCAGTTCTTCCTGACTTGTGCTAGACCTACACACTCATGACCTCAAGACCCTGTCTACACCTCGGGCCTCTGGGTGGACACTGCCATACTCTACCTCCCATCCTCAGACTGAACACTCCCGCAGGGCAGGGATGGAGCCATGACCCATGGAGAACGGGCCCCTTTCTCTCTGGAGCTATGGAATCCAGTGTTGGAGCAGAGCCCCAGTCTACCAGGAGGGTCACTCAAGGGTCCTGAGTCCCTGTGCTAGACCAGTAAGGTGGAGGCATTAAGCAGAGTCTAGCAGATGGCTCATGTCCCCAACCTGCCTGATGGACTCTACAGTTTCACATGCTTCTTACTGCAGGAAACAGAGGTGAACAAATGTTCTTGTAGTGACACAAGCAAGCTTTGCAACTGCCTACCAGCTCTGCATGAAGAATAGGCATCACAGAAGCAATGGAGGGCATATCCTAGACAGGAGCCACCTGGACCAAGACACAGGGAACCTGAGTCGAGGGTGGAGTGTACCTAGAGAGAATGATGGCTATGGCCTCACCCTGAGATACAAGCCGGTGATGGTCTGGGAGGGCACAGGGATGTCATATTGTCCACTTGGTTCTTATGAACATCTAGGTAGTACCTAAGTATCACAGTCATTGGGAACAAAAAGCAGAATTCTACAGAATGCAGAGAGGAACTGCTGGGGACAAGCAGGATGGACAGTGTATGGTGACCTCACAGATTTTACCTTCAAACACCTGATGGTTATTCCTGAGCAGGGTCTGTAGGCCTCCACACTCCCGCTTCAGGCGCTGCAGAGTCTCCGGGCTCAGTTCTGCAGCCACCTGCGCCAGAGAAAGGCTCCCTGTGGAAAAGATGTTCACACACAACACAGATCACAAGCTGTAGCCAGCATAGACTGTCAGGTCCCAAAGCCAAACCCAATCAATCCTTCAGCTTCAAGTCCTGTGTGTGCAGTTTAATGACTCCACATCTTATAACCACAGGACACGGGGGTAGAAGTCATCCCAGCCACAGTGACACAGTGTGCCAGCATGCAGGACCACTTGCTTCCACTGGGCAGGCTGAGCATCGAGTCAGTCTACCAACACCTGACAGAGTGGCCCAGCCCCCACATTCCTGGTACTAAACAAATGAGACACAGCCCAGAGTTGAGGAGGCAGGGTCAACAGGCAAGCCTTTAGCTGTGTCTCCTGCCAAGGGCCATCAGAGCTTTACAGGGCACTGCCCACATTGGCAAGCACACAGGGGGCTGGAGTGAGAGGTGTGACACAGAACCACAGAAGTCTGCTCTGACTAAGGTGACAGTGGGTCACCTCCCCACACTCTGCAGCTCACCTGGGTCTCACAGCAGAGCTGGGGGCTAAAATCAGACCCGAGGGCCTCCTTCCCAGTGTCCAGAATGGCTTACTGAGGGAGACACCTAGGCCTCCACCAGGCAGAGCAAGGAGAGGCTGTCTGCGGGCTCAGAGGCCCAGGACCATTCCCATCTCACAGAGATGCTTCTCACCCAGGGGCACCTGAGAGCCTTCAACGAGCCTAGGCCTCCAGACACCCATCAACAAAGGTATGGTACCCTAGCAATCCACCTGGTAGCAGGCAGGATGAGACCTAGGTCTGAAGAGGGTCCACCTAGTTCAGGGCTCCCATGCCAGGCAAAGCCTAACAGGCCCCCAATTCCCAGCATGTCCTCATTTAAACCAGGACTCCTGCTGTACAGCACACTCAGGAACCTCCACATCCAGAGCACTATTCCAGCACTGCCCTGAGTTCTTCCAACCTTCTGGGGAACCTTGCCTGCCTCCCTCTGCAAGGACCCCATCTTAGCATCTAAACAGTGATGCTAGCCCCAAATCACAGAGTGATGGGTCTTCAAGTTACATGGCACCTGAGTCAAAGCCACTCTGGCCAGTGGCTAACCCAGGATTGGTTAGTTCTGAAGAAGAACATACAAGGTCCTGCCATGTCACATATGGGAGATGACTTGAGAAGAAACCTGGAACCAAGAGGCTCAGATGAGGATGTGGCATGGGGGATGAGAGTGGAGCCATTCTGCTCTAGGCTATGCCAGGGGCCACTTGCTCCTGTGCGGGGTGAGAAAAGGCAACACTCACAGCTTCTGATGCAACCCTGATTCTAGTCAGCAGATGGTCCCATACCACCCTCTAGTGGCCACAGGTGGAAGGAAGGGGTGCAGTTCAAAGCTTTGACAACCTCAACCCTACTTACCTGTTTCTAATATGCAGGTTCCAGCCAATGAGCAATCAGATACAACTGTCTCTTCCATGGCAACAGTTTTATACTTAGGGATTGCACTGAATGAAAGTATTGAATTTGCATTCAAGGGAGCGGGGCTTTTGACACTTGGCAACCTGTTCTCTGGTTGCATCATTTCTAAGGAATAAAACACCAGCAACTATGGACAGCTGGTCACTCTCATCCTCTGGGTATGCTGAGCTACAGAGACCCACAGCCCATGCTGGCTAGTGAGTCTGCCCAGGAAGTTAGGGCCTACCTCCTTCATTCCATGTCTTCAGACTCCCGTCCTCAGAGCTCCCCGTGGTTAAGTTCTTTCCATCTAACAACAAATTTGCCACTTGTAAAACCACTTGGTCAATAAAGTCTCGAGGGAGGGCAGCACAATTCCTCACACGCTCGGTCTTTTCTCTGGGACAGAACCCAGGCATCCAGAGCCCTGTGGCTGGGGCTACTCCTCCCTCAGCAGCCAAGCCATCAGGCATGCCCTCAGCCCCGGCATCGCAGGTCCTGTGGCTGTCTTGGGGACCAGCATCGTGGGCAGCTGCCTGGGGTGCAGAAGGCATACATCCTTTAGCAGGTGGGCTCTGGGAGTGGCCCTGTCTGCTGTGGAGGTATCGAGTCCTCTGCTCATCCATCCAGACCTCTGCAGAAGGCAAGTACATTCTAGATTTTCCAATGAGGCAGACCTGTGTTTGAAGAGACACTGTCTTGCAACATTCTTCATGGATCATGCTTGTGCTAAATAACAATTTAGACCAAAGTTTTAGAAATCAGTTAGAAGACAGAAATTCTTATTTCAGCCTTTTGGTTGAATAGATAGATTCAAGGCCTTACACATGTGGGAAACATTGCCCTCTGAGGTCTACTCCAAGTCCCGAATTCCATTTTTTTAACAGATACCAACAGACATGATTTATAAATAAAAAAACCAACAATAAACCTAGTGAGGAATGTGGTGCAGATCTATGGAAGGAGTAAGTTAGCTAAGTGCTTCACTCAGACGGTCTTTCTTAGGCCTGCCTTTGCCCCAGGAGTGACACAATTTACCTCTGAAAGTTCCTGGGGAATCTGTGTAAGAATGAGGCTGTTTATTAACCTGCTAGCATGACACCCGAAACAATGCAGGTACCCAAAGCATCTAAGGAACTTCCTCCACACTTCCCTCTGGTCATTAACTCCAGAGTTAGAGTGCACACCAGCAAGAGGAGCCAATGGAATTCCATTAGGGTCACCCAGTCCTGCCTGGGTTTGGAACAGTGGGGCATCTGAAGTGTTTGGTCCCCACCAGCTGTGTGACTGTCTAGCACTGATTGGGCACCTCCCAAACTACCCAACGGTAACACTGGGTCAGAGACTGCATGAGCTTCCTTGGTTTTCATGATGAGCAGTGGAATGGCAAGTACAAAACCCAGATCTCTGACACCCCAGACTGAACCTTCTCCAACCCAGAGGGGCAAGACTTGCTGGCATGATGTGATCTGGGAGAAAGGTGCAGTCTTGAAGTTGGGCTCTGAAGGAAACGTCTGGAAGAGCCCCAAGCAGAGCACACTCCCTGGCTCTGCGCCTGCCCTGGCACATACCCGCTTGGTAGAAGGAATCCTGAGGCAGTCCTCCTGCATATGGAAGCCACAGGAAAGTCCCACCTCCAGCACGAAGTCCAGGTATTCACGGTACTGTGTCTTCCTGCTCTGCCGCCGGTGGTATCGCCCCGCAAAGTCAAAGAAACAGCAGGGCAGGACGAAAAAACGGCAGGTGTAGGAAGACCTAGAAGACAAAGAGACCCAGAAAATCCTTAAGAGGCCAGCACAGACCCAGCAAGACCCGAGGAACCCAGCACAGACTCAGGAAGACCTGAGGAGCCCTTCACAGACTCAGGAAGACCTGAGGAGCCCTTCACAGACCCAGGAAGACCCAAGGAGCCTAGCACAGAGACCCAGGTAGATCTGAAGAGCCCTTCACGGACCCAGGAAGACCTGAGGAAGACCCAAGAAGCCCAGCACAGACCAAGGAAGACCCAAAGAACCCAAGAACACCTAAGGGGGCTAGCACAGACCCAAGGAACCCAATACAGAGACCCAGAAAGAGCCGAGAAACCCAGCACAGAGACCCAGGAAGACCTAAGGGGCCCAGCCAGCACAGAGACCCAGATAAATAGGCACATCACAGCATGCACAAACAGCAAGGTCAAGTACCTAAGCTGCTCCTGGCTATTCTGACATCTAAAGAAATGGGTATTTCTTATCTACTTTTTTTAAGGCCAAGGGGTCTCATGAGGCCCAGATACAAATGCACTCAAGTGCACCATTTATTCCTAACTTCTTATCTCCACCTTCAATGTACTGGGGTTACAGGCATAGTCACCACACCAGATTGTTTCCCACGGATCTCTAAAATCCATGCAGTGCATTGTATCTTTCAACAAAACAGAAACTGAACTAATAAAAAACAATTTTCCTGTGTCGTTACTCCAGCCCACTGTGGCATCAGCTTTCTAGAGCTGGAACTTCAGGTAGGAATCAGAAAATAAGAGAGGACAGCAGGTGGGTGGTGGTGGCACATGCCTTTAATCCCAGCCCTCGGGAGGCAGAGATGGGTGGATGTCTGTGAGTTCAAGGCCAGCCTGGTCTACAGAGTAAGTTCCAGGACAGGCTTCAAAGCTACAGAGAAACCCTGTCTCAAAAAAGAAAAAAAATGTAGACTTCAAGACAGGGCAGCAAAGGTAAGTTCAGACTTGACCTGAAGTGGAGCTAGGAGCACAAACAGCTCAGAGTCCTGGTTAGGAGAGGCCCTGACGGAAGACTAGGGGAGGGGGGCTGAAGGCACTGGCAGTGTCTCAGACTTTACAAAGTGTTGTCTAGAGGTGCAGCGGATCTGTCTAAGGAAAGATTTCCCCTAAAAGTCAAACCCTCTAAAACCAGTATACTTTCCAAAAAAGGTGCACATCTATGAACATGGGACAGAAATGTCATAAGATGATGTAACCGGGATCAGTGTTGGCTAACAGAACGTGAGAGGAAACACGTGTGTGGCTTAGGTGTTCTAGGAGCCAAGTTTCAAAAGAAAAGCAGGTAGACTTAAATTTACTCAATATACCTATGCTACTGCCAGTTCAATGCTCTGAGTTACCATGTCAAAGGTCGCACTGCCACAGTGACTAGGGGCCGCCATCGTGGACATTAGTGCACAGGAAGAAACAGCCACCTGCCTTTCCTACTCACCTGGCTGCAATGACAGGGATCCAGGGAGTGAGCTCATCAGAATGGTTACCAATCAGCCAATCAACACCAGGGAACAGGGTCTTGTCACTCGGGATGATGGAACCTTCCTTAAGAATGTCACAGGAGATGAAACAGTCAGTACATCTGCCAGAAGCTCTGAGCCATGACTCATAGTCCACCTACCACATGATCCTCCTAGGCCTCCACTGCGCCCAACTTACTAGGAGGAGGAGGTGACTGTCCTGCCCATAGATGGTCTCCAAGGACACAAATCCCTGGCAACTTTTGGGGTCCCCCAAAAGATCACTTTTCTGGGTGATGACTAAAACTTGTTTCCTGCATAAACACAAGAAAGCAACCAACAGAGAGACAGCTGACGACTGGTCCCCTCTGAGAAGAGGACATGAAGTCTGCTCAGTTCTGGGCTATTCTGTCACTATGGTCAGTGAACTCTCAGCAGTGACATCTCACCCACCCTGCCCTTCTGAGTCTCTGCACGTCATCCTTCCTGGAGGTCAGCAGCCAGTCTCAAATTACTGAGTGACATCTTAGAGAACTGACCGGAGGGCCATCACAACTTGAGATGGTGCAGGATGGACCCCAGGGGATGGAGTAGCACTCTGACCATGCCTGCCTCTCCAGCACTGCTCTACACCAGTCCTGACAGTGGAACTGTTAGCTCCCCACGGCAGGCCTCACAGTAGAAGCGTTACAACTGTGGTGCTGTTTGCACAAACGCTGAGACACTGAACGTACAATTGGCCAATTGCCAAGTGCATGGCCACAAAGGAGAACAAGCCTTTAGAAACATTTATTATCATTCCACTCTCTACATTTAAACCTTCCTGTTTGTCTCTTCATGAATCAAGAGCTTATTTATACTTTGAGTTGCCATTACCAGGCTACACTGTCCTAGAAACAGCCAGACTTGCTTCACAAAAGGCCTTTTGAATATACCAAATTGCAACCATCTTGTTTGATGCACAAACTTAAGACAATCTGAGATCAGCACAGCAACATATTAACAAAAGACTGCAAACACACTTGCACTGAACAGGGTTAGAAAGAAGCTTAAGTCAAGATGGATGGGATTTCTAGGCAGAGCTATCACAGACACCATACAAACACAGCTAGAAACAAACTATCACTGGGAAATATACCAGCAGTACACACAGGTTCAGGCAGAAAGTGCAACAGAAATGCAGCCGACTTCCATCTGAATACTCAACACTAGAACCAGCAGTGTTGGCACTGGGACTAGAAGGGATTCCTGAGTCAGGTGACTCATTGACAGGTCGGAGGCAGGAGATGGGGACCCCTAATAAACAGCTCAAACTTGTATACATTTCCTAAAAGCTCCTCACACCAACCAGCTGCTCCTTCAGTTAGGACTTACTAGTGGGACAGTGTGAAGTTCATTCCAAGCAGAGGGTTAAGACCTGACTGAGGACACAGGGATACTGACATCTGCTAAATTACTCCTGTGGATTATCAGTCTCACACATAATTCAGAGTCTTAGGCACCAACCATGAGGCTCTATGGACTGCACATCCACCTAAAGGGCTCCCTATGAACCTGCCAGCTTACCAACAGTCCTCAAAATCGAGACACTAAAAGCATCTCTCTTTTTAGACATAAGATCTCGCTATTTAGTACTAGCTGGCCTAGAACTCACTCTGTAGACTATTGTAGAATATTAAATTATGGTGTGTTACATTTGTTTAGGCTGTGAAACATCTGTTTAACGATGTAAAGATGTACTGCATTCTTTCATGGTGCATTTGTTTAACTGTGAATGTGTGCTATTTTACCTGTCTAAAACACCTGTTTGGTCTAATAAAGAGCTGAATGGCCAATAGCTAGGAGAAAAGATAGGCAGAGCTGACAGGTAGAGAGAATAAACAGGAGAAATCTGAGTAGGATGAAGGAGTGAAAAGATCAAGGGATGAGAAAAGAAGGAGTCAGTTACACAGCCAATGAGGGGGGAGATGTAGGATAAAGACAAAAGCTTGGAGGCAAAAGGTAGATGGATTAATTCAAGTTAAAAAAAAAAGCTGGCTAGAAATAAGCCAAGCTAAGGTCAGGCATTCATAAGGATAAGCCTCTGTGTAATTTTTTTGGGAGCTGGGTGGTGGGCCCACTAAGAGACAAAGAGCAAAGAGCCAAAAGAGTAAAACAACCAACAACAGTAGGTAGACTAGGCTGGTCGAGAACTCAGACTTTGCCTGCCTCTGCCTCCCAAGAGCTGAGCTTAAAGGCATATGTCACCATGCCCAGTCCTAGAAACATTTCTCAATGTTCTTTCCTTTTTTTTATGGTCAGGGTCTCATGCAACCTCTCATGCAAGGTTGGCTTTGAAGTCATTATATAGCTGACCCTCCTGCCTCTATTTCCCAAGTGTTGAAATTACAAAAGTTCACCTTCTTGCTTGACAAAATTTCCTATAACATAAATCAGCAAGCAATTAAGAATCCCTGGGAAAGCAACCATGAATACAGAAGGAAGAATGAGCTGAGGGACTGGCAGTGAGCTCCTTGCCCCTCAAGCCTTTGTCATATCATCTCAACTTGAAAAAGTGGTATGATGAAAATGCAGTGGTCTCTAAAGTTGTATTTTTTTTTTGCTGCAGATGAACAGTATTAGCTGTGGGCAGTGACTGGGCAGCATTGGCAGTCACTGTGGCAGCTGTGGACAGTGGGGGAAGACAGTTACAGCAGCATCATGGGCAGTGCTTGGGGCAATGGGGGCAGTCAGTACTGCAGCAGCTGTGGGCAGTGTCTGGGGCAGTGAGAGCAGACAGGTACAGTGGCAGCTTGGGCAGTGTCTGAGGGCAGTTGGGGCACATGGGTTCAGTGGCAGCTTGGGCAGTGTCTGAGGGCAGT